ACCACGGGGGGTGGGGGTGGGGGGGTGTTTTGTTTTGTTGGGTTTTTTTAAGGTCTTCTATCAGGAAGTGAACAAAACATCACCTCTGCGCTCTGCCAATAGAATATCAGAAGCAAATGCAAAAAAGAAAACGGATTAGGACAGAGTTGATATCAAAACTGAAAGCAACAGCACTTACAGAAAGAGTTTTGCTGTAACTCAGATAAGTAAATTCATGCTTGAATTCCAGATTTAAACTTCAGTAAAGATTTTTTTTTTAATATTTAAAAAAGTTTAATACAATCCTGAAGATGGCAAAACTTGCAAAGACTCAAGAAATAGGTATCAATTTAATGTACAATAGAATGAGAAATGGGGGTGGGGGGGGTATAAGGGTTTGAAAGACATTATCGTCACTTTTTCAGATTAAATAACAGTAGAAACAGGTTCTCCCCTCACTGCTGTAAATAGTATCTTGTTAAAATGCTTGATGCTCGGGGGGTGGGGGTGGGGGGTGGAATCTTGGATGCTGCTAGGCATTTCAGCTTTGATAAAAGTTCTGATTTTCTGGTGGCACTCATATTGACCCCCATGAAAGTCTGCATTTTCTCCCTTCCAGAGTACTGATAAAAATAGCTTTCACCAGAGGCAGTTCATACTAATGTGTTCTCTCCTTATAAGTCCCTTTCATTTCTCTTGTGCTATCAGTTAGGCCATCCATACTAAAATTCCTTGCATGGGAGGACAGCAAGGGAAAGGTACTGAAAGAAAACTTCAAGCGCCATACATTTCTTTGGTCATTTTCAAGAGTATGATGAACATACTAACAGCAACTATAATTTTTCCATATACATCTATAATTCTCCCAATACAACCTGAAAACTACAGGTGTGATAAAATCCTTCTAAATACTTGCATTTGCTCATTACTTAAAAATATATAAAAAAAAAAAAACCCAAAACAAAACAGTGACTTAATACAGAACCTAATTACAATTAACTACTAATCTTTACTGTTTAAATAAACAAGATTCTAACAGATGCGTAAGTGCTCCTGTTTTATCTACAAGGAAGGAAAAAGGAAAGCAAAAGGAACCCAGAATCCATTTCCTGGATGTCGTAGCTTTCCTGGCAGGGTGCAACTTTCTCACAAGGCACTTAATCTTCTCATATGTCAACTGAAACATCTTTAAAGGTATGTTTTAAACACTCTTCTGAGATATTTAGTTTGTCAAGAGTTTGTGAAGACTAGCACTGACCACAGACTAAGAGTACCCCAGGTAATAACATTAATCATCATGCAAACATTACTGGACTTTTCATAGTTTGCTGTCACCTTTACATAGTCTGCGTCCAACGTTGTTCTTGCTGTTAGTACCAGATTCCTATTGAGGAATGGAAACTTTTATTCTTTGATGTAGCAACTGGAAAAAATGCCAGTAACATTACTACACTAATCTGACCAGTGATTAATTACTGCTCTGAAACATGAAAGACTTGCTCAGTGGCAAGTCAGACAGTAACTTAAAGGTGCTGAAAAAGCTATACTTTTTTTTTTTATTTTTAGTAGCCACACACAGAGTTCAAATGAAACTGTAGAGAGGCAGAGGAGAGAAACTCAGTCTACGCAGCTGCCCTAGAAAGAAAACACACTAATAACATTTCCCACTTAACATTCTGAGGTCAAACACAAACCATTATTTTGTTAAACTTAGACAAGTACGGTAAAATTAAACAAAACCCCCAGCCTTAATACTGTCAGGGAATATTGCATAACGTATCACCTAATCCTAGCATTTAGTTTATTTCACCGTCTTGAAAATCGTACCATAACGAAAGCAAAAAGCACTTGAACTACACTACTTAAGAAGAGTTTGCCCATTGGTGTTAGTTCACTAACTGTAGTTTCCCCTCCTCTCTTCATTTCAAGTATTTAGCAAAAATATAAACCCAGATGTATTTATTTATTTATAGACTTTATACCAAGACCTTCTCCTTGCTATTTCGGTTGTTTCAGGCACTTCCTCCAAAGCACAGAGGAACTATGCATGCACAGCCCCAGAAAAAACACACTTCTATTTGTGCAGTCACAACTTGCCTACAGGAGAAATTTACAAGAAACTGAAGAATTTATAAAACTTAATATTGAAAATATTTATGCCTTCATAAATTCTTCCTTGAAGTATACTTAAGCATACACTTCTAAGATAATACAGTCTACAGCTCAATTATATACTCTGAAGTAACATAGTCCACCTACCTTCAACTAATCTACCCTATTCTTCCTCTTATTTGATGTACTTGAATAACTTTTTCTATAAAACGTATACAAAGTTCACTGTACAGAAAGTTACTAGGCACAAAGTTTTTTTACTAACTGCTATATCAACTCTGTTAAAACAATCTTTTTTCATCTCACCTCATAAAACTTATCACTTGTGATCTTTTCAACAGGAAGAGGCTTGCCATCTTGAAAATTTGTGAGAATCAATGCAATAGTAGTAAGTGTTTTACCCTGCATAACAGAAAAGAACATCATGTTTTCCACAGATTAAAACGAACCAAATTACCAACCAATCAAGAAACACGCACACGTTCTGTATAAAAAAAAAATTCAAGCTTGGTAAGTATTATTACCAGTCCCATATCATCAGCCAGTATTCCTCCAAGAACATTTTTAGGTCGCTGCTTTTCTGCGAAGTTTGTAAGTGTATTGTAATAGAAGTTACTTCTCTCTTCCCAAAACGGTGGCAAATCATTACTGTTCTCACATGAAACCATCCAAGCTAAAGCCTGCTTCTGATGGGGAAGCAAGGGTGTGCCAACAGCCTGCAAATTAAAGAGATAACATTATGCACTATTCACATATTAAATATGACATTCCATTTCTGGAAGAAAATTTTTTTTAAAAAGTCCTTTGTACCTACTAGATTTTTTTCTGATTCACGCATTTCCTGCGTGCAGACAACAAAGCTAAATACACATCTAGATGTTTATGTATTTATATTTTTATAGAAAATGGTTTCTAGCTTAAGAAATACCTCTGCTCCTTCCATTTCACAAGTTTTATCATCTTCCTTCAGATCCTCAAACAATTTGTCAAATTCACTTTTAAGCTGCATAAATGAACACAAAAACTGCAATTAAAATTACTGCAATTAAAAATAACCTCACTAAATAATCAATGACTAATAAATTACAATTACCTGTCATATAGTAATCAGTATAGATAGGTCTACCACTTTAGACCTGATTTGCTGGAATATGTTTGTTAACTACTGCTATGTAAAAAACAAGTTCAGCTTTTCCAAGACAAACACATGCCAATACAAGCAAGAGCTTGAGAAGGGATGGCTAAATATATTCACATCCTTGTACAACACTCACTAAAGTAACTACTTCACTCTAATTTGAAAGAGCAAACAAAAGCAAAACCAAAACCAAACCACCACCCAACCCTTCATGTATCACCCTGGGCCAAAGCTGAAGATAAAAAGTCTGGAAGTCTGATTTTATTTTCATTTGAGAACTTAACATACTTGTTATCTGGTAAAGCATTAGGACAGAGAAAAGAAAACACACCACCACAACAACGTAAAAAAATTACTGAACAAGCAAAACCTCCCAAAATTACATGGGACTCAAGGCTGTCACAGCTAAAACGTCTGCTTACAGTATAAAAATGAAAAAGCTCAAAAGTTCAAGATGACTTCAAAGCAAATCTGTGGTTCAGAAAAGAAAAAAAAAGTGACATACTTCCACTTCACAAGCACTGTTTTATTAATGAAAAAGTTAAAGGTCCCCCCTGTTAAAATTCCAACTTCTAGGTGTTTAAGTATGAAATGCAAACCTGTTCAGTGGTCAACTGCACAGCAGCATGAACTGGAGCACTATAACTTGGACCAGCTCTCCCAGAAATCCACTTTGATCCAAAACCATATTCTGAACCTACTACCATTAAAAAAGATAGGATTTTAAAACACAACAATATGATGACTTCCCAATCTCAACCTTCACTGGCTCATAAGTAACAATGCTGATAAGATCGTGGGCTGTAAGACAGTATGTTTCACCATTTGTCTTTTAGCCTCAATTCATCCTTTACTTCAAAGGACCACAAAGGCTTTCCACAAAGCTTCCTAAGACTCACAGGCAATGAGCTATGGGTTGGGATCCTTCGAGATGGCAACCGTGTTTCTTAAAAACTGTTGTTACATGAAATTTGACTTGGTAACAGTATGATGACTGATAACGCAAAATGCTTTTTCACTCCAAACTCTTTTTCTGTTAACTATGTGCAATAGAACCTATAAGATAAAAACTGAAATCTTCCTATAAGTAAAACAGATCTATCCCTCACCAAGTGTTTATTTCTGCACACGTCCTTACTCCTGACCACCACTGCTTTCACAAAGCCTAGTTCCAGGAGCACAGGTGCTTTTTGTGCAAGGCTGGCTCTGCAAAGCATCAGGTCTGCTAAGCTGATTTGTTCAGAGGCATCTCATCTCTATTTGCTCACACCTCACTAGTAGGATACACATCCTACCACTCTGCTAAAAAGCAGCACTGTCCCTGAAACCCTCACCCTATGAAAGGGTCTAACTTGTTTCTTAAAAAAATTTTTTTTCAAGTCTGGAGAAATGCAGGGAATCATTATGGATCTTTAAGGAACTTATGGAATCGAGTATACTTCTGAGGTTGCTTAAATGCCTCTCCAATTGCTGGCTGGTAACATAAAAGATAGGAAGTATACTTTTGTGTCCTATGAAGCTTAAAATTAATAGCTGCGGGCTCTGCATTATTCCTCAACTAAGTTAAAAAATAATTTTGTGAATTGCAAGACTATGATGAGGATTAAGCCCTTAAACATTTCTTCCAACCAATGGCAAGTTCAATCTGAATATTTTAAAAAGGAAAAACCCCCAAAACTTCAAGACTTACCTTTCAGAGGAGGAGCCAATTTGAATCCATGCCTTTTTAGCTGATCTAGCACTGCTTCCTTGTTTTCTTCTTTTCCCCAAAAGCTCATTTGTACAGGCATAGTAAAGGCATTTTTTGCTCCATAAGGGACAACCCTGATAAAAAGCAGGAAAAAAACCCACAGCAGTAATCTTTTAATTGTTTAATTTTGTATAATAAACCTTGTTATTTCTTCAGCAGTAGGTATTCCAAAGTGCTTATTTTCACCAAAACACAGAATGTTCCAGATAGGTGTTAGTACTCATACTGCGTAAACCTTTTACATGAACCACCACATGCAGTTAATTTAACAGTTCCACAACAATCTTTAAGGAATTTGCTCTCACTAGTGTCTCTACATTTTATCATATATGGGAAAGAATGAACTGTATGCAAGTAGTTCAGCAGAAGAATAAAGAGTCTGAAAACACACAGCTTTAATCATATTACCAAGAGCTGTCATTTCTGTCAACAGAGAACACTTATAAATAGTTTACAGAATTTGCTAGTGTAGCAACAAAAAAAATTTCCATTATTTATATTCATGGAACCAAAAGCATAATCGTCACACTTACCCTTCAACTAATGCTAGTTTGTTGTCCATAATGCCTGCCAATGCTGCCGCTAGTTCTTTTTTTATATGGCCTACCTGGTCTCCATTCACATTATTTACTTTCACTGCATTTTTATCATAAGGATTATTGGGCTCTCTCTGAAGTGCAACCATCTCATTGTTATTAACCTAACAAAGCAAAACAAACAATCACCAGAGCACATTCATTTAGTTGCAAAATTATTTGCAGAAATATCTAATATACATTTACTTAAATACCGTGAAGCTTAAAGATTAATTTGGTATAGCATTCTGTTCAGCCAGTCTAATAACCTACTACTTATTCAAAATACCAAAAGCATTACAGAAGAGGCACCTGACAGATGTCAGCAATTTCAAAAGTATTCCTGGGAGCAACTACCTTCAACTGCTCACACAATTTGTAAGAGAATAAACATCCCTTTTTGTCCCTGTAAACAGTTCAAAGATCCATCTGATTTCTTGTTTTCAGTCATTTTCATTTGCCTTTTGTGGGTGAGCACAGCTACCAAATAACTAAACCAGGTTTGAAAGCTTGCTACCTTAATTAAATTTTGAATTAAAGTTTTAGATTAAGTACTTCCCGTGAAGAACATCAAATACAGCAAGTTAGGGGGAAAAAAAAAAAATCTGTCAAAATTATACTTGGTCAAAAGTTCTAGGAATTTTTGAAATTTAATTAAATGTATTTTTTCTGAAGCTGACAACTTTTTCTTCTGCTTTATAATTTATCATGCACTTACAATCCCTGTGTAGTATCGTAATCCAACAACACTTCCTCGCAAAGTGCCATATAAGATAGCTGAGTCTGTATCCTCCTCCGTTCCAGAAGTGTCACCTACAGAGAGGAAGTCTTCCAACCCAAGACTAGAGTAAAAGTCAGAAGAGGAAAAACGGGAATAGTTTCTTTCTCCTCTACAGATGTTATATTGAGAGCATCCTCTTGCAGAATCTCTGCAGAAAGACAAAGTGTGAAATATTTGACAAGGATTTTAATAATAATAATAGAATTATTATTTCCTTGTAATCTATTTTACCCCTTTATATAAGGCTACCTATAAACCCTAGTTTTACAACTTTATTCAGATATTTACCTGGGAACATTCAAAAAAAGTTTTGTATTAGGAGAAAACTTTGTCTGCCATTTTTTAATTCCTAATAAATTAGTTAAAGCGAATTACAATGAAGAGTTGACAACTTAACTGACTAAACTACGGTATTTGTGCATTCCGCTCTACCTTCCCTCACAGATTATTTTTGTCAACAACATTATGAATTCTCCAGATTTAGTTGCATCTCTAATTACACCTGGCACAGCAAAATTTCCATGTATTTTCCTAACACAAATTTTTCTCATCTAAGAAAAAGGTTAAAAAAACCCTATTTGTAACTGATTAACTCTGTATAACTTCACGCCTATATCCACAGAAGCTGAAATGCTAGAATAACTGTTCCCTACGTATTTATTAAGCTTACCTTCACACCTTGACATCTATTACTAATACTTTATAATAAACTTCAGAGATAATCAGCTACTCCAACCTAACCCGGGTAATTACACTATGTATCTTTAATACAAACTTCCATCAGCCAGGCTCCCCTTTTAGTGAAGAGATACACCTAGTTAACTCACATTATTGCACACAGAGAGATGGAAACAGCTCTGGCCATGCATTTAATGCATGTTTGGGTGAAGATCGACATACTAACAATTGTTTTAATCAAGTAATATGCAACAATAAAATCTCAAAACAAGTTTTAACTCATACATAATAACCATGACCTTTGGTATCCCAAAACTACCCTACGCTGTTGCTGGATTAATTTAAGAGTACTGCCAATTAAAATAATTACTCTCCGTATACTAGTCATTCAGAGCTTGGCATAGTAAACTTTGGTTTCTTTTGCAAATGGTAACT